GCTCCAAAGAGTGTGAAGGGGAGTTCACTTTTCTTTTTCTTTGAATTATTTAAATCTTCTGGAAAGGGATTTTTTTTTTTCCTTCTGGACATATATCAATGGATTTTTTTGTTGCTTTTTTTTCTTTTTTTTTTTCATTTAATTTATACAAGAACATTTCATGTTTATTTACAGAAGAACCAATGGGTGGCGATTCATCCTGGCGACATGATGGCAAACATCAGTGTGAGATAAGCACGCGATTTTTCTTTTTAAAAAGTAGTTCTATCAAACGGCAATGGATATATATTTTTCTAAAGTCCACGATTCTGTCTAGTTTGATTGTCGACTGTACATTTATGACTTAGACCAGGGGGTTAGGAAGGGACCCAAAAAGCGGGTAGTTGATGCACCTTAAATCACTGGTACTTGAGGTCTTTGGAAATGCATCAAATGAGTTGTCTGGATATTGCAGAGGGAGTAAGAAAGAATTAAAAAATCCGGGCATTGCACGGGCATCCCTTAGAGTAACTTCTTCTGAAATTAAAACTTAAAAAAAATAAAGAAAAAAAAAAAGAAAAACTCAGTTCGCTCCGCACTGAGGCTGCCTGTAGAGCGCTGGGCAGGGCTGCGGTGCCGCGGGCTCAGGGGATGGGGACGGGACGGGACGGAGCCGTCGCGGGGCCGCGGTGCCCAGCCGGAGGCTGCAGGATCCAACCCTCCGGAATGCGGCGCCGGGCGGCAGTCCCAGCGCTCCCCGCCTCGCTCCGCCCGCGAGTTGCATTGAAGCTTGCGCACGCGCTCTGCTCGCGCACACGTATATACATATATACATATATATTAATTACATACACATATATATACATACATACACACACGCCACACGCATCCCTGCCGTCCCTGCAGCACGCGGCGAGCTTGCAGCCGAGCGAGACGCGGCTTATTCCAAGAAACCAACTCCAAGACCATCGCGGACGCTAAGCATCTATCATAATAACAGAAAAAAAGAAGGGGGAAAAATACATCCCTTCTCGTTGGGAAAAAAAAGAGGCTTTTCCCCAGGGAAAGCCACTGTGGCGGATGTTCCTGCCACTGTTCTTTTTTTTTTTTTTCCTGCAAAGATCCAAAGGACTGGGGAGAAAAGGGGTAACTCAGCAGCAGCCCTGCTGAGGTTGCCCATGCACAGCTCCTAGTGACGTGTCCCAAATGCAGGGAGCAAGGAGGGGTGTCCCCGGAGCTGGGTGTCCCAGGGTCGCAGTGCCAGGTGTCCCGGTTCCCCAGCCCTGCTAAGAAACTGAGGCACAGGTGAGATTATACATTTTTTCCTGCTTGTTTTCCAAGGTGGTGCAGCAAGGGTCTAGACACAACACCAGGATTTGCTCTCCAACAACTGCAAGGGCCAAAACACCAGGAGGTCTGACAGTATCGTGCACCCGCAGAGGTCATCGAGTGAAGGCGCGCAGGTAGCAATGTTGAGAATTGGATCACTCCAGCGTGCAACTTGGAGCCCTTGTTGCCAAACCAAATTATGGAGGAGAACCTGGGCTCTCCAACATCTTCTGTGGTCCTTATTTTCTTTCGATCCCCCTTTCTCCAGTCTATTTATGCGGTCCAGGGAAAAGCGGTCACTCCAAAGTGACAGTTGCTACAAATTACTGCAGGAGAGAGACTGGCCAAAAAATAGCCCAGAGGGGAAGGGAAACGATGCTCTCTTTTATGTCTTGAAATTGCAGCTGTCCAAAATTTGGAGGACTGCAAAGACTAGCTCTTCCACTCCAGCACGTCACACACACAAACACACACACAAGCATGTGGAAAGGACACCAAAAGGCAAGAGAAGACCCCTGGACAGGCTCTGCTTTAGGGTCCAGTAAATGCCACCAAAGGTAAGGAGAAGCCACAGCCATGTCCTACTACCTCCTACCTCATAAGGGAGGCAGGTGGCCCAAGATCAAGCAACAGCTGTCTTTCCTTCCAAACATCAACATGGACAACCAGCCTGATGCTCCTGGGGAGCTGAGATGATGAGAAAGGCTTCTCCATAATTTACGCCCTATTTAAAACCAAGAAAAAGTACGCTCCAACCCAAAAAAGAGTTTTATTGAGCTCACAGCTGCTCTCTGGTGCAAGAGCAATAAGGAAAGTGCATGGAAACAGCAGACTCTGAGTTAAGACATTGGTTGATCCTCATTGCTGGTTTAATAAATTTAACCCAACTTCACCTTTTCTGCACGTCTTATACTTTTAGCCGCTGGAAGAGAAAGTGCTGCCCAGTCTGCTCTCACCCTCCCGTTTCAAATCAGTCCTCGCTTCCAGAACTGTAACGGATTTAAGTGCCAGGATTACAACTTAACACCAGCTGAGCGAACCGAGGTTAAGCTTGAGTGAATAAAAAATTGTATTAGAGAACTTCAGACTATTTAAGGGGAAAAAAATGGAATGAAGAAGATTATAGAAGCAGCTAAGAAAAGCAGCATTTAAAAGATTAAGCTGGGAGGGTTCTTTCTTTAATATACACTGGAAAGATTAAGTCCACTTTTCTCGGAAAGGTGGCGAGATTGGGTGATACTTGCTCTCGTGGTAGGATATTGTGACTCACAGTATCTTGAACAGGCTTGAGTCCTGCCAAAACCATGGATCGTTAATGCCCTTTGGGTTTGCTCAACAGGACACTGAGAAAAGAGAGTCATCAAAACCACCAGGCTACTTGGAAAACAGTTCAGAGAAGCTGGTCCTCTCCGCGGAACCACCAGGTTCYTGCAGAGGTGCGACTCCCCCATCTGTGCATCTCCATGCTGGTACACGCGATGCCAGGATGGGGCCAAGACAGATTGTATACACACACACACACACATACATACTTCCATACACACAAAATACACTGCATGTTTCTCAGCATCACCCTCTGAGGGACCCATCAGGACACCCAGCTCCACATTAGAAGAACCAACCCAACACCACTCCTGACTGTTGTGTGTCTCAAAACACAGGGTTGTGATTTTAGGAGATGGCTGGTGCAGAGGGGCTCTAATCCCTATTGTCAAATCCAAGGAGCTCAGCCTCCAGGTTTAGGTTAGGGCCTAAACCTCAGAAAAGTCAAGTCTTCACAAGCATAAAATCCTGTCCAGCCATCATACGCAGTGCACTGAAAATTTACAGTCCTCTCATTACATATATATAAACTCCATACATATGAAAGTGTGTGTTTGTGTATATATATTATATATATATATATATGTTATATATAAAATATATGTCTTTGGCCTCTCAGTTCCTAACATAAAAAGCTCTGCTGTACTGTAGCCACAATCAGGGTCTATGGAGACAGAGGATAAATCTCCATCTCTATATCCACTAATGTTCTGAGAGCAACGAAGTGTCACTGCATCTGTGCAGGTTAATTCACGATGCAGCAGAATGAATGCAACTGAATTTTTAACGTTTTTGTCCCCCACCTGATTGAACAGCCATAAGACCAAAGTCAAGGTCTCCACAGGACACCGCCAAGATCACAACCATCATTAGAACAAAAATCCTTGACTGCATTGCAAACAGCACTTTAGCTAATTAAAAGCCAGCTAATTAAAATATCCAATTGACTTTTGTGCAGAGGGCTCACTCCAAAATGAAGGTTTTCTTCATTCTGAAGCAGTCACAGCTAGGGTCTGGATCAGGCCCAGCTGCCTTGCACATCACGTAGCCTCAGAGGTGAAAACACTTTGTTGGGTTGGGTGTAGCTGGGTTAGCAATTGCTCCTGGGGTCTTTTTTCTGCTGGCTCCCAGGCACGGAGGAACCCCTTGGTTCCTCCAAAAGCAGCCCTTTGGAAGTCAATGGGAGGTGACAGTGCGCAGTCAGATGGTTTATATCAGCATTTAACAACACAAGAATTAGAGAAACACATTGATTGTGAGCTTAACAAAGCAGAGACCCGGTGGTCGATCCGGCCTCAGACTGACCTCTGCAAGTCCCCATCTCTCCCCAGTCATTTTCCATGTCTGGAGGTGCCCATCAGCTGGCATGACCCAGTCCCCGAACCTGGCAAGGGCAATGCACTTTCCTGTTCTTTCATTCCTGCTGCATATCACAACAAACTCTGTGAGTCACAAGCCTGTTCAGAGGCAYCCAGGAGAGTATCAAGCCTTGTGTTTCCTTCTTCTGCTGAATCCCCACCAAGCAATGCCCCGGCTCCATTCCAAAAGCAGTGGTGTCAGTCATTCTGTGCAAGTTGGGTTTTACTGGTCACAGTGAGATCCCATCAAAAGCAMGGTCCCTTTCCAAGCAAAGCCCTCACCAGCCAATGACGCACAGTTTCCACTGCTCGCAGGTCTCTGCCTGGGTACAATGATGCCGTGAAGTGAGGTGCTGGCAAGAAACRAGCAGCACGAGATGCCAAATCGAGCTTCTCGCTGCTCCATGAGCTCTCCAAAGAGGTGATCCGAAAGGTCATTTCCAGGCATATATGCACTGCTTTACTTCTCCCCACTCTGAGAGCAAACCCCAGGGCATCAGGAATTCCAGCCCCTTGTGCTTTCTCATGGTTCAAAATGTACTTGACAGTTGCATCCTTTTTTGCCAGATAGGAGCAGGGAGCAAGGCAATTGCTGTAAAGCAACCAAACCTCATCCAGAAATGAAAAAAAAAGAAAGAAAGAAACATCCCTTCCTTCCAAAGGGAAAAAAAGGTAAAAATAAAGAAAGATAAATCCAAACCAACCCCCCTGCACTCCAAGGCCGGTAACATCCAGATCCCAGCATCCGTAGTGTCAGTTGGTAAAGCCCAGTGAACTCCAGCTGCTGTCAGCAAAGTGACCACCCACGCATGCACTTGTCGGAGCGGTCCTGAGGCAAAGTGGTGTTGGCCATTTGCACCTCGCCCCATCCCTTCCACTGGAGAAAGGATAGCGGTACTTGGTCAAAACTTAGTGGTGCTCTGGACGACTGATTTTCTCACGTCCAAGATCTGCTTCCTCTTTTAGCTGTTGTGGTTTTGCTTTTCTTGTTGTTGTTTTTGCTGTTGTTTCTCCTTTTTCAAATTCACAGTCTGATCCAGGAAAGAGAAAAAGAGAGGGAAGTTGGTTGTAGTAGAGAGGGRGAGAGTTTGAGGCAGGAAGGGAGGGCGCGCGAGGCACGGCGGGCTCTCTTCTCTACGCATAGAACTCCTCCTGCTTGTCAGGCTTCTGGTAGGTCACATTGGCCTGCTTCGGTTCCTCCAGCGTGTAGCTCCCCTCATCCTTCTTCTTCATTCGGTAGATAAGCAGCATTACTAGGAAGGCAGCAAAGAGGGCTCCCACCACGCCACCCACAATCACCGCTGCAATACAGAGCACAAGGCAGAGACATCAGCGAGATGGCCATAATACGGGATGGCCACCTCAAACCCCATCCCACTGTGGACCATCCTCAACCCTCCAAGCTTCACCTCAAAAGACAATCTGGGGGATCTCCTTGGATTCCAGCTGATTTCTGAGCTTCACAAGTTTCTGAGCAACTTTTGTCTTGAAATCAATGCTCATGGAAACTAAAATGGAAGGTGAGGGCCTATTGCAATCACATGAGTATTGAAAAGCTTTCCAAATACATTGATGCTGAAAGTGAGTTAGCAGCAGAGYGACAGTTATCTCATGGTAGATGGATGAATTAAACTGAAAGGCATCTACTTTACAGTCCATGTGATGGGGACCAAAAATTGGATTCAGATAGCCCAGCTACCTGTATGTCCAGAAACGGTGGTCTGTGCCAGGTGCCGGTCTTTGCACAGGCGGTAAATTCATATAATGATGCAGGGGTAGGTGCCAGGGTCTGCCATACTTGGCTGAAGAACATGAGAAGGACAGCCAAGCTATGCCATAACCTCCAGCTCCTTCTAGCTGGTGGTGGGACACCTCTACCCTATTTCCAGCATGTGGAGCACAGCTATTTTTGGCAGCCAGGCTCAGAACCACATGTGGCCATGATGAAGACTAATCCCTCTCCTGGGTTCCTGTCTCCCACCCAACACACTCCATCTCTTCCCCCACAAGCCAACAGTCTCACCTATCAACACTTCTTTCCTCTCCAGGATGTTTTTCTGCGGGAGTTGAGCGGCRGTGTTGCCAGAGTCTATCGTATTGTCTATGAGCCCGGGCTCGGCGTTCCTACCCAGCCCGGGCCCCAGTGGAGGAGTCACTGCAGCCATCACCTCATTATTGAGCTCAGGACGAGTTGTTTCTTCCTCTTCCCGGATCTCAAAGTCCCCGCTGGGGCTGCCACTGATGCGGACCTCCAGCTCATTGTCAAGCACTGTTGACACGTCTCCTGGCTCCATCTGGGAAACATGACAAGGAGGAAAGACATTGCTGTAARGTGACCCTATCAGTCAGGAACACAGGGGATAATGTCAAGGTGTCGATTCCTGCATTACTGAAATGTCTGGCTGTATTGCAAAGAGCAACACAACCCCATCTCATCATGGACATCAAGCCCGGGCCATCTTAGCTGCGCTGGACAATTCTCATCTGTCCCTGTCCCATGTGCTCTCAGGTTCTCGACAGCTCCCTGTAGCTTTCTATATCATAACTTTAGAGAGGTTTCCACTTTGTAGGACTCCTTTTGGGTTTTCTGTCCCCTAGTGTAGACCTGGAGTCTGCTGAAACATTTTCCAGACGCCTCCTTGCTAGACCTGAAAGTGTACAATGGTTTGTGCTACAGAAATGAAGAAGCTTAAGGATCATATGCCATTGGATGAACTCCCCAAGCCTTGTTCCCTCCCTCTGTCTTCCATCAACCTGTGGATATGGTTGCTGCCCCATGAAACATGCACAGGGGCTGGAAGATGAGTCCTTCTCCCTCAGGCTATGGAGACTATCCAGCTCCATGCTATGGTCTCCAGCTGAACTGCCCTCTGCAAGTCAATGAGCTTAGACCACTGAGCAAATGTGAGTCCTGAAGATGAGACCCTCTGCTTCCGCCCAGCCCACTCCTGACTTACTATTTCCTCCTGCACATCCCTATCTGAGGATTCACTTGGGAATAAATTACATCTGACATGTCATCTTCTCCCATCTCTCTTGATGAGGCCATGTGCTGAGCTATCTGGCCAAGCATCCTTGACCAAAGTTCTCCCTGGGAACCCTCCTCCGTGGGGCAAACGCCTTCTTCTGCAAGCCCCCATGTAACAAACCAGGATGAGCGAAAAGCTCATTTCGATGTCCCCAGGGCAGGCAACAAGCTGGGCGATCTTTCCTGATCTTTCCCGTCTAAGCACGAGCCCTCTCCATGTCAAGCTGCCTCTGGCACAAGTGCATGGCTCACTGGTTTGCCACAAGCTCGTTTTTCTCATCCTTTTGTGACAGAGATTAATTGAAGGTCAGCAAGAGCCCAGAGCTATATACATGTATGTATGTACAAAAAAAAAAAAGGACTAGTTTAGACAAATCACTCCACCTTTCAGTCAAAGTGGTTTTCAAAAGACCCCTTAAGGGCTTTGAATGAGAGATGTATTAGTGGATTAAATCCCTCTGCTTAGGACGCCCAACGGGCAGGAAATGCACCATCAATACCTAATTGTGGAACATTTGGGGCCACTCATTGCTTAGCTGTGACTTGGCAAGMAATGCAATGAGCTCAGCAAACACCCACAGAGGTAGCCCCCCTTCCCCCTGGCCTTGGGAAGCCACTAAGGAGCAGGGCATGGCAAGGCAGAGCTGGGGACACCAAGGAAGYTTGGCAGCTCCATCTGCCTCCCACACTGCCCAGGTATCCGTCAGATCTGTAGGCATGCAGCAGATCTCCAAGGAGCAAGAAGGACACCATGCTCTGCCCCATCCCAAACTGCTGGCCACATTCCCCCACCATTTAATCTCCTTTTTTTTTCCAGCTCCCCAAGCGTTTGACTCTTYGCAGAGGTGGGAAGAGCCCAGTCTGGCTTCATCTCACTCTGTTTTACCCCAGAATCTTCCCATCACCAYCACTTGGCTTCAAATGTGGCCCCCCTGCCTCCTACCTGGGGTGCTTCTGTGGGCGGCAACGTGGCAGGACTRGAAGGCAGCACAGTGCTTTTTTCCGTGAGGTCTGCAGTCCTGGAGGTACTTGGTTTTGGCAGGGACCTGGGCTTGGCTGTGCTGGAGGGGGAAGGCCATGATGTGACCAGCTCTGTCGCTATGTTGGTCTCAAGGACGGAGCTGGTGGGCGTCTCTAGGGTGGTAGGCCGGGTGGTGGCTGCCTTGGTGACAAAGGGGGGCAGGAATCTGCGGACGGTGGTGGGTTTGGCCGTGGCCATGGTGGTGCTGGTAGTGGTGGTGCTGGCAGCAGTGGTGCTGGTGGTGGTAGTGGTGGTGGTAGTGGTCGTACTGGAGGAGTCTCTGGCAGTGGTACTGCTGGTGGTTGCTTTCCAGCTGGGGATCACAGGCGCCTCTGTCATCCTGGGGATATACAAGACACTGGTGGTCTGCTCGGCAGTGGTGTCCTCCACAGGCAAYGTTTCAAAAGGGGTGGCCATGGGCTGCACCAGCGTGACCGGCAGCATGGCTGCGGTGGTGGGGAGTGTGATGGACGTGTCCGTGGTGAGGCTCACTCCTGTTTCAAGTCCCGACTCCTGCTCGAAATCTGGAAGGGAGGGAGAGGGGTGAAATTGATGCATCCATGGATTTCCCAGGGCTGAGATTCATGCCAGGGACATACTTTGGGACAATTGTTGCTTTTGGCTAGCAGATGGCAGGAAGGCTGCTCCTCTGGAAGTGGGTAAGGTACCCTCTCAGGCTCCCCTGGAAAATCCTTTTCTATCCCAACAAAACCAGTATCTCCTTCTCCATCCCAACAAAACCCATGGCCATGCTCCCTAACCCCCCTGGACTCTCTCCCTGGGAGCCTTAAAGCTACTTACATCCCGAGCCTGAGCCCGAGTAGACATCATCCATCTCATCATCCCCAAAGGGATCATCATCCCCGGAGCCTTCCAGGTCCACAGGCCTCTCATAGTTTTCATTGCGCCAGCGTTGAGCCTGCGACCGAGCAGAGGAGAAGCACATAAGGAGCTGTGTTTTGACCAGGACAACCACCAAGGAGCCCAGATGGAGGCCAGCTCTCACTCTGCCGCTAACACCCATAGACAGCCCTGGTGGGATGATCCACGGAGTGAAAAGGGCTGGGATGGGCAAGAGCAGAGCCCWGAGAGCTTTGGGCAGCCTGTGCTCCTGAGCTGGTTGGGGAAATGTTGTTAGAAGCACGTTTTGTTTCAGTTCRCCAACTCGTTTTATTTTAGATCATTTTCACGTTATTCCTGGCACATGTGTGATAGTAACGTATAGTATCAGCTGCCACAGCTTGGAAAGTTATAAAGTAAGGTAATTTTAGACCTAAAATATTCCACGGCTCAATACTGTTTTTAAAAACGTGAAGAGCCCTTGCTAGGAGGACTCTCAAACATCTTGGTTTGCAGATCAGAGYGTCTCCTGTTTGTGCTATAACGACACAGTTTGACACTTCATTACAAACCAAACAAGGCGTCTTTGATCTCCAAGATAGCATAAGGTGTTTCAAGATGTTACAAGCCAGGTTAGTGCTTAAAAATAAAAGAACAGTGCAGAACTCTCCCCTCCATCAGACAGGCACCTTACATCTTGATAAGTGTTTTGAGGTTCTTGGTTTCTACAGCAGCCTGGCAGGAGCTCTGGAATGTCAGATGATCTCTTCAACATTGAAAGGTTTTTACTAGAGTTTTGCCCCTTCCCGTTCACACCCCTTTGGAGCCTGTCAGCCCATAGTGGGAAGAAAGCCATACCCACTGGGGTGGATACCCTTGGCATCATATGCTCATGGTGGCAACTTGAAAATTATCCAGGGCATAAAAATCTCCTGGGTTAGAAGGTTAAGGGGAGTTGGGCTTTTAAGTGTCTGAAAATGCTGCTAAGCTTTTTTTTCTGGCTAGATCTACACCTTTATCTCAAGTGATAGCACTCTGCTTCCGTATCACCAACAGCTGCTATTTATATCCTACCACTCTCCAATATGTTATGCATTCTCCAAACTTCCAGGAAGACTCAGTCTTTGCCCCAAAGATAATGCACCATCCCGGAGTTTCAAATATACAGTCGCCAGCAGTTTCCTCGAGGAAGGCTGTCATCTGCTGAAATTAATCCGTGGGGAATTGCAAATTGCTGCAGCCCCTTGCCGTGCCAAAGTCTGCTCCAGTGGGAGGCCGAAGGACGAGGGGGAAGAGGGAATGTGCTCTGAATGTGAGAGGTGGCTCTGGCTACCGCAGCTCAGGCTGCTGCCAGTTCCTCGCACATGGAAAACAGCCAGCTCTTGGGTCMCAATGGAAACGGGGCTGGGAAACACCAGGCTGGGATGAGGAAGCCCTAAGAGAATGAAATGCAAAACAGCAAAGACCCAGCGCAAATTATTTTGTTACTTAAGCGATGGCTCAGCCACTGACCAACTTGTGACCCTGCAAGAAGGATGAACCTGGATACTCAGGCCAAGATCCCAGCACAAATGCTTCACCCAAGCTATGGGGCTCACCCACAGAGATTGCTCTCTCTTTCCTTCTCTCTTGACCAACTTGTGACCCTGCAAGAAGGATGAACCTGGATACTCAGGCCAAGATCCCAGCACAAATGCTTCACCCAAGCTATGGGGCTCACCCACAGAGATTGCTCTCTCTTTCCTTCTCTCTTTCCTTCTCTCTTGACTAAGGCTTTCCCTTTATGCCAGACCTTCAGCATTGGGTCCTTTTTTATATATGAAAATTACTAATGCTCATAAATAAATGAGGAAGCCCTGTCATGGGTGCCCTGCAGCCAGGGAGGGAACCCTCCCTCCTCTTGTCTGTGCAAGCTCCCTGAAGGTCACATTCTGCCTGGTCACCCTGCAAAGCCTCGCCATAATGGGAGCCACATGGTCCAGCCACACTGAGCTCATTTCTGCCTTCAATTGGAAGCAGGTGGKGCAGCTCCAGCTCTCAGCCTGCAAAACAGCACCTTCAAGGTGCTCTCATCCTGCTGCAAAGAGTCAATGGGGTAAATGGGGTAGGTGGGAACGTCAAATTAAAGCAAAACCCCTTTGCCCATCACAGCTCAGCCCCTGCATTAGGGACTTTCATTTGAGCAGAATACCATGAAGAGCAGGGTCCAAGAGGGGTCCAGGCCCCACATCCTCAGGTCCAGCAGCACCAGGGAGGGCAGAGAAACCAGGGTTCAAGTGCRGCAGGTCAAGTGGAATCCCTCAAAGCCCTGGCCCAGTTCAGGGGTGAGGAGCAGAGTTTTGTGGGGCAGATGCACTCCGGGCTCCCTCTTGGCATCGCCACAGAGCCTGTGTCAGTGGAGCAGAGATGCTCCCAGCCAGGGTTTGCCCTAAGTGTGATTCAAGAAAGACCGGCCACTATTGGGAAGTTTAACCAGCAATTAGAGCAGCCCTCAGCATGGTCAGCTCCAGTAGCTGCCTGGCCAGCTCAGTGCATATAGCTGCAGCTTCCCAGCAGCACGGTGCAATTGCACTAAAATATTCATGGACAGAGCATCTCTGCTGCTTASCGGGGAGGCAAAACGGGGTTTCACTGGGGCAGCAGCAAGTTCCTCTCTTCCTGCTTTCCTGTGAGGAAAATGAGGTTGTGCATGAAGTGGCTCCTGTGTGCAACAGAGTGGGAGCTGATGCTGTTTTACAAGTGTGTGTGGCAGGAAAACAGCAGCACGGAGGGAGCCGATCTCATCCRAGAGGCAAAGATCCACGAGCACTTGTGCAATGAGTTGCCAGGGACTAAAGCTGGACACACCTCTATAGCTGGGATCACTGTGCCCAGGACCAAAGATTCCTGGGCTGGCTCCATCCCTTGTTCTCTGCATGTGACAGTGCCTGAGGGGATCTACTGCCAGAGCCCACTGCCTGGAAAAAAACAGGCAGGCAGCAACGAGTGCCAGGCAGCCCCTTGTCACCCTCCCACATCCTAGGAGGGCATCAATCTGGGACTAAATGTAAATAACAGCTCAGCCAGGACTTGGCACGGCAGGGACCTTGCAGTAAGATCTCAGGTTGTCCTGACAYGGTTCGTCCCTATGCGTGTTCCTCATGCAACAACATCAAGCTTGGACAAAGGAAAAGGAGGACAAATAGCAGGAGCTCARGTACCATCCAAGCTAAGCACAGAGGTGACAGTGGATTCAGCTTCTCTTTGGCCTCTGCTCTCAGGACAAAGGACACCCTGTGCCTTCCTCATCCTCTTCCTTGCATACCGGAGGGTGATGCAYTTTATAGGCCAAAAATGTGACACTCAGGAAGACCAATGCTCAGGTGGTGCATTTCTCTGGGGACATTCCCTCTCCATGGCAGGASCTGGACAACACCTCTCCCAAATGCCTCAACCATCCCAAAATCTGTTGCAAAAGAGATGCTCGTGGCCCAGCGCACGCTTGAGCGCCGGGAGGAAGGGAGATGTATAATCCATCTCGAAACGTGGGGAGGGAGGCTGTCGCWTCTCGCACGGATGCTGAGGTCTTGCGGTAGCCACCGGCATGGCAACGGTCACCATGGAAACCGCCTCCTCCGTGCCAACGCGGCGCTCCGATGTCGAGAGATTCCCTCTGCCGGGTCTCTCTGGGTGCCGTGTCCGGGCTTCGCTTGCCCTCCAGCGCTCGGAAATGCGGAGCAAGGCGGCGGCCTCCACAGGGCCTCCCGGAGCTGCCGCTCTCCGCAATGCTCCCACTGGCAGCGCAAGTAGCATCCCAAGGACCAGCCTCTGTGGGACTCATCCCACCTGCACCCACCTCCTCCGCATCGCGGGATACACCATAAATCCCTGCGGCCCATGGAGATGACACCTCTCGTTCTATCAGTCCTGGGAGCTGGAATTGGGTGGSAGCCCATGTCCCACCTGGGATTGGTCGGGAACATGCACAGCCTCCTCCAAAACAGRTCAGGAGCTTGTGTCCCACCTGGGAATGATTGGAAACATACGTATTCCCACTTGTGATYCATCCAGAGCCCACGATCCCACCTGAGATCAGTTGAGATCACATGCAGCTCCACTCAGACTGATGCGGAGTCCACGCCCATGGGAACATTCACTTCCACATCCTTTACAGATGGCAATTAAAGTGGGAAGAGGAAGGTCACAAACTTTTGGCAGCTTCCTGGGAGCCAGGGATCTTCATTACCCTCCAGGATATCGGAAAGGCAAACCTTTCCTCTCCTTGGCCTCCATTTTCCACCATGAGATGCCAAATCTGGCATCATTCAGATTGGAAACACATCAAACTGAGAAGCTATTGCAAGAAAAGCACTGATTATATCTCCGATACTTTCCATCGGATATATTCAATTAATCAGGCCTTGCAAGTACCTTGCCAGTGGTGCTGGCAAGGTTTATATATGGACCAAAACCTTAATAACTCAGCCCAACAAGTGAGTTAGTGACACGATGAGCACTCAAAGTAATATTAGCAAGTCAGAGCAAAAAACACTCATCGCTCCCAAAACTAAAGACGTCATAATTCATTTCTGCCGCTATCAAATTGCTCTATTTCTACCTTCGCATCCCAGTCCAAGCATTAAACCTGTTGGAAAGCTGTTCCCGAAAGCCATCCCAGCAYGTAGGTCCCTCTGCTCCAGGCAGCAACACTTAGCCTGACAGAGACATGACTCATGACTCATTCCACGGCAGCCAATTATTTAATTTATTTATTTCTTTTTCTTTTTTTTTGCAACTTTATTCTTTCTCAAATTAATTACCACCCKGAATAGCAGCTGCCCAAACCCTGGCGCGTTTCGATTTAATAGGCCAGTTGTTTTATGCCACTAAAATCATCATTAACGTTCGCTGAGCAGCAGCAATTATCCTGCCTTTGGATCGATCCCGACAATGCCGGCCAAGTACCGGAGGAGCCTGTCCGGACGCGAGTGTTTAATTACCGCCCCCGGGATATAACGAGCCGCACAGGGAGCTGCCGAGGGATCAGGGCTGTGGATCCCGCCGCTCCAGCGGGATGTGGTCACAGCTTGCCCAGACTCC